GTGAGCATCTACGATGGAGTTATCATTCCTTCTCGTCTGTAGGTTGTATCTTCACGCCAACCTCAAGTCCAGTCTCTTCAAAAGGCCCCTTACCTGCGGCCATCGTTTCCTGTATGGGTGAGGCCTCTTCTTTGTAACTTTCAGTTTTCCCGGTGGAACGGCCTTTTTCGGTCTGAAGTGGCTCTCCGTTGTCAACTTCTTGTTGGACTCTTTCGACTTGGTCAACTTGTCGTTTGTCCTCGTTCTTCACTTCTTGCAGTTTCCTTGACTCTTGCGTCTCTTGTATTGGCTTTGCCTTATCAAATTCTTCAAAACCCTCCTCCTGGGTAGGGAATTTGCCTCCCTCTTCACTCTGCTCTTTAGTTTCGACCTTCGATTTCTTGATAAAAGAGCTCTCTCTTTCTTCTGATGGCGTTCCAGCAGACGACAGACTCTGAACATTTATCTCACCAGACCCAGGTGTTTGTAACTGACAAGTTGTCATCTCTGCCGACGTAGACTTGTCTAAGAGGAGAAAAACGGCAATGACTCTTACAGTTCCTTAGCTTGCATCTAGAGAATTGAAGGTCACACCTTCGTGTTGACCGTTCGGTATCTAGAGGATATTGTATCTTCTCATCGCCATTGCGATGGACTGGCATTCCATCCAGGGGAGAGTAGTGAAACTCTTACTCACTTATGCTATGGAGACTGGGATGGGGGTGGGGGTGGGGTTGGGGGAGCCTTGCGATGGACTGGTATTCCATCCAGGGAAGAGGAGTGAAACCCTTACTCGCTTCATGCTATGGAGACTGGATTAAACTCCACTGACTTGGGAGAGCCACTTTACTCGAGTGCGAACTTTACCCACTTTTTCCCTCAATGTGATTCAATGTACCATGTTTATAACAAAATCTTCATATTGGTATCAGGACACAAAATCATCCCTTAAAACCTTAAGCACACAAATTGATGCGCAAATCAAAAAAATTGTCAGTAGCTAAAATTTATAATTGCTGAAAACAGCTGGAGGCACTAATTGTCTGTACAGGATTCATTCATTCATTCATTCATTCATTCAATCATGAGAAAAAAAAGTAACCGCAAATCTTCCCATGAGCATGTTGTATTCTACAACTATTCCTACTTTCTATTATTATCATTTTCTTTTTTTTGGCAGTGAGCATCTACGATGAGATAGCATTACCATTACCATTCCTTCTTGTTTCAAGGTTGTACCTTCACGCCAACCTCAAGCCCTGTCTCTTAAAAAGGCCCCTTACCTGTGGCCATCGTTTCCTGCATGGGTGAAGCCTCTTCTCTGTAACTTTCAGTTTCTACGGTGGAACGGCCGTTTTCGGCCTGAAGCGGCTCTCTGTTGCCTAATTCTTGCTGGACTCTCTTGACTTGGTCCCCTTGTCTTTTGTCCTCGTCCTCCACTTCTTGCGCTTTTCTTGCTACTTGCGTCTCTTGTATTGGCTTTTCCTTATTAACTTCTTCAAAGGCTTCCTCTTGGGTAGGGAATTTGCTTCCCTCTTCACTCTGCTCTTTAGTCTTGACCTTCGATATGTCGATTAAATAGCTCTGTGGTTCTTCTGATGGCGTTCCACCAGACCCAGGTGTTTGAGTACGTTGAGTTATCATCTCTGCCGACGTAGAGTTGTCTAAGAGAAAAAAGAATGGCAATCACTCTTACAGTTTCCTAATTTGCTCCTATAGAATTAGAGTCGCACCTTCCTGTTGATCATGCAGTATATTGAGGTAACCCATTCTCACCAACAATTTCCAATCCGATATAGCAGTGTTAAGACTTACCTTGCGAACGCGAATTAAGGATTAACTTGGTCTAAAGTCGCAGTACTCTTATTCCCTACCAGCACAAAAGTGAGCCAATAGAGCCAGTTTCTTACCGTTAAAACAAACCGACTTTACTCATAACTTAGAGAGTTGACTACCTTATCATCACGAAATCTCAAGGTTGCTGCGCTATAGGATACTTAAGAGACGATTTTTCTTTACCAGAAGTAGTAAGGAGCCGCTTACTTCGACTGTAACATTGTTGGTTAGTCCAAACAATGAAATTTATCTAACCATGATCTTGAAGTAGGCCTCAAAAAATAAAATAAGAAAATTCTAATTAAAAAAAGGGCAAGAAAAATTACTTGCAGCCCTACAACAATAATTTCCTACCACACTGAAATATTAAGGTAAGAAAAGAAGGCAAATACCTGGAATCTGCACCACTGTTTGGTCTCCAATAAAATTAAATATATTGACATTCTGCGCTTGAATATTGAAGGTTGTGTTTTCTAAAGGTCACAAAAACACAAATAATAATAATAATAAAAAAGCCTTTAGAATGCAGTAGTACTACCAGTTTATATATGTATGGGGCTGTCTTTCCTGGAAACTGTCCAGACATCATAAGTATCATACGAATCAGTGAGGTTTACTACGTTCCGAATCCGAATACACAGATGTTGCTTTTTAAACAAACACTAGAATGGCTAACTGAAGATCACGCAAGAGCTTTTAACAACTATCGAGGATTCAGTTTTACTCTTTTTTCTACGCTCATGACGATGAGTTAAATAAATAACCGTAAATAAGGCAATAAATATTCTGTACTTACGAGCTCCACTTTTTGCTCTACCTTTTAAGGAAGAACCGCTCTCGGATTCACCTTCAGAGCGGCTACTAGAAGCCTAAATAAATAAATAAATAAATATGTTAATTGAAGCTCCCCCTTGGGGGCTTTTCAGCCACAATGTAGACTAACTAAGTACTTGAAAATCCCCACCGGCAGGAGGCAGACCAGTGGGTTATTTACAGAGCGCAGAGTGGAGGACTTGAACCCGGGTCACTGGATTACAAGTCCAGCATCCTAAGAGTTAAATGGAAATATATTTGAACAATGTAAGAGTTAAATGGAAATATATTTGAACGCTTATGTTTCTGTGTCAAAAATTGGACGCGACGAAGAAAAGTTCCCGTTTACTTTCACGGTATATTCTCTATCTGCTCGAAAATGTTTACAGTGACCAACAAGAGGCTTTTCAGTTGCATTACAAGTGGTCTGTTTACTACTTCGAACTCGCCGACCCCTCCTTGATGAGGGTCTTAGAGTACCAGCGTGAGGGGCTCGTCTCCTTTTCGTCTGAATCTGTGCTTTTGAAAAGATATCTAACTGCTTGGGAACGAATTCTTCAAGTAAGCAACACGTAAGAGCCGCAGCGCTTATTCAGGGGCGGTGTTTATTGCTTCCCTGTCCCAAAAGTGGTGATTATTGCAGTGAGACGCTTATTGACCCTTATTCGCTATTCAACAGACGTGGGAAACACTGAATCTGTGTTAACTAATAACTCAAATTCGGAAGTCATTTAACGACACCACATATAACGAGTGCTTACTTTACAGTTGACAATTCATGCGTAACTTACGGTTTCGTCGATTGAACGAAATGGAATTTCTTTGACGAGACAGTCCTTCTCTCGCATGTACTCGACAATAGCCTGTCGAAGAAAGGCATTCTTTACCATTTTCCCTTCTTGTTAAATTTGAAATTCTAGTTGTACTGAAGTTGAGTTTACATACCACACAAAACCAAAACATAAAACTATAATTGATTTTTCGTATAGAAGTTGTTATCCATTTCTCACTTACAATACGGCACGAAAGTCAATCAAATTTGTCTTAGGATATCAAAGACAGTTGATTCCAAGTTTCCATAAGCGTCTTGGTGGAACACTCGTCTCTCTCAAACTACCCTCACCAAAACCGCCACACAAAGAGAAAAAACAAACAAACTAAAACAAAGTGCATTACCACATGCTGCCCTATCAATTACAAACCTGGGTGGAGTATGCACTGTGATAATGAGATTTCCTACCCTAGAACTTGGTCAAGGGAATCAAAACTGATTGCTTTATCAGAAGTTCTCAACAGTGACTGTACGTCAGGGACCACTCAACTATCTAATGCAAGATGACAAAAAAAAAAAAAAAAAAAAAAAATCAACACACCCTCCAGACTCCTGACGCAGACGCCAACTGAGCTTGATTTCCAAAGAGATACAAACCACAACGTGCGCGTGAGATTGCCACACAAATACGATTCTTTTCCGTCAAGTAACCAATCTTGTTTTCAGCGTTACTTCGGACCAGAGAAACCAGAATGATGTTATTTTCCTGCCCCTGTAGAAGGAAGTGATAAGGTATAATAAGAACCTCGGAAAAACCTCATTCTCAAACGGCGAAGATAGTTCTTTTTTTCAATCACTTGTTCTTTTCACGGGATTAAATACAACTTCCCGAAATGCCATTTCACAGCACCGCACTTGGCAGAGAATCTCTCTGGGATCGCGAGATTGACGGGTTTGATTTACATTAGGGTCATAATTTTTCCCCGAGCTTCCGGCATTGGGAAGTAATGAAGTTCAATCGTTATCCTTTCCCATTTGGTGCCAAAAGAGTTTAGTTATGTCGATTTATGAACACCGAGTTTGAGAAGTTTGGATGCCTTGGGACCACACGAAGGAAAGATTTTCGACTAAAACTGATAAATGTTGTTAAAGAAGTTCATCAATGTTCTATTTTACATTGACAAAGGACATAACAAGGGGGTTTTCATACCTGAAAAGCGTCTATCGTTGTCACTTTAATCTCAGCCATTTCCGCAACATTTGAAGATTTGAAGGAATCGTTTATTTCTCTTATCTGCAAAAGGAGGATTATTACCTTGACAATTACAAAAATTCTAGCTCTGTATTGGCATGTATATAGCCTAGGGAAAAAGGTAGCAACTAGTATCCTCTTGTATCCAGTTCAAAGGGATACGCATGAGAGGGCAATAGCGCTTTATACTATACTAAAAATAGATTTTGTTACATGATAACCCATGAGACCCCCCGCACAGACTCAGACAAACATTGCGACCAGCTTAAAGGAAATGCATGAGCGAGAGCTGTAAAATTGAAACAAAACGACGGAAATTTTCGTCCAAAAAATTACTTAGCATTCTAAAAGGAAGCGGCGTGGTTGGTACCAAACACTGTTGTTGGGGTGAGTGTAAGATAGACTCAAGATATGCTGATAAATGGCCAAAATCACTCAAAGAGTTAGAGGAATCGGGGAAGAAAGTATGCATTCCTTTTTCAAAACCTTCGCGAGACATGGCAAAGTGCAAGGTTGGCTAGTGGCTTGTTTGCGTGAATTTTTCACGGAGAAAACAAGAAACACTTGCCGGATCAAGGGTGTGATAATTCCCGCTCCTCCCAGTCTCTCACTCGCTGTACAAGATCTCGTTTACCGCTTAATTTTAAGCCCCTACATTTTAACCACCGTTTTAGCTGGTCTACAGTGTATTCTTCTGGTTCTCTTTCAAATTTGGAGTCAGGAACGCCGTCCTCTTTGGTCAGAACTGTAAGGGAATGAAGCGAACTACTCGCCATTTCCCTTGTAGCTCTTTAAGAAGTGGAGTTTGTTTGTCTGAGTCACGCGGGGGTCTAAAATTTCATGACGTCATTAGTATAAAGCGCTATTGGTACCCTAGACAACCTCCTGAAGAAAATGTATTTCTTCACCTTCTCGCAATATGTGTAATAACTTGTCGCCAATTTGTTTTAGTCCGTCCGTGTCTAGAGGGTTATATTCCGGATTCTGTACTGATCCTTTCTCCAAAAAAGCGTCCATTCATAAATACATTGCAATTCGATCAGGAATCCGAGGGCTAAACGGTCGCACTCCAAAAATAATATAACTTGTAACTGTGTACAATGCTTTTTCTTCGATGCATCATAACTATCATCCTACATTAGTCGATAAAAAGGTATTACACAAAACTTTTCTTAGCATCTCAGGGTTGTCTTCTTGAAAAAAGGTTGCTACAGAAGCATACCTACCAATCAAAATGCTATTAAGTATGCTTGTATTACTGGCCACTTCGAAAGCGAGCTAGGTAGCCCCCCATTTTTCTTTATTCAGCAATTCTAAAATCATTAAACAAAAGAAACTCCTCCTACATTTTAAAAACATTCTGTTTCAGGGACTTTAGAACCACCCTAACTTTCAGAAAAATTTTACCTTGTTGAAAGGAATACTCTTTAAATATATAAATGGGTTGGTTACCAAGTTCATTTTAAGTTGCTAGTTTCCTTCGACATAATAAGAATTTATTATCCACCTACACTTCTTGGAGTACAAATAACGCCATAGACGAGAACAAATATCACGCGGTATTTGGACTCTAGAGTACCGGTTAAACAGGTTTTCTCGCATGGAGCAAGCGAAGAGTTGAATTGTCGTTAGGACAAAAAAATGGCGGACAATTTGAATCTTACTTCCGACGACAAAGAGTCAGAGTGGCTGGCAAATATACATCCAAGTTTATTAGATGAATCGGACGAAGAAAAACAGCTGGACGATCTGGAAATTTCTTCATTTATTGAAGAAAATAGAAACAGCAACACGACAACGCACCAATTCTGTTCCGCTTCGCATACTTCTATCACGCACTCTCCATAAATAAATATCCGCGAAATTCGCCCGCACTGAAATAACAGTTTGGCGTGTTGGATAATAAATAGCTTATTCGACGTTTTGTTGTGTAGTATCGCTGAGTATTTTTACTCGCTATTTGTATTTTGACTCGCCCTACGGGCTCGTCAAAATACGGCGCATCTCGTAAAAATACTCAGCAATACTGCACAACAAAACGTCTAATAAGATATATGTATTTTACAGGTTATAATGTTGCTATGATCTCTTAACTTAAGTTATGTAACAAGGATAGTGATTTACAATGATTGGACAATACAAATGTGATTATTATCCAACTGCACTCCGTAGAATACAAATAATGCCCAAGAAGAGTACAAATATCACGGGGTATTTGTACTCTAGAGAACCGGTTTAAATCATTTTCTGACGACGAAGAGTCGGAATGGCTAGCGAGTATTGGTCCAAGTTTCTTAGATGAATTGAACAAAGAAAAGCTGTGAGACGACAGTGAAATTTCATCAACTATTCAAGAAAATAGAAACGGCAACACGACAAAACGCCAATTCCGTTCCACTTCGCATACTTCCACTTCCCCGTAAATAAATATCTGCAAAATTCGCCTGCACTGAAATAACAGTTTAGCGTGTTCGATAATAAATAACCTATTAGACATTTTGGTATGTATCGCTCAGTGTTTTTACTCATCATTTGTATTTTAACTCGCCCTAGGGGCTAGTCAAAATACGGCACAACTCATAAAAATACTCAGAGATACTAAACAACAAAACTAATAAGATTTATTAAAAACTGGATCATTGGATAATGCAATTCAAGACTTTTCATTGGCTTAGCCATTATGGTATATGAGTCAATGTACCATAAACTACGATATGGTAAGCGTACTCGTAAGCTTAAAATTATAAAGGGAGCTAAAAATTTAATAAAATTTAATAATTTAATGCAGCGTTTTTAATAAAACAATTATTCCACTCGCGCTTGTTGGATATGAGATGATTATAGCCAA